AAAAATAAATCTTTAAACAAAAAAAAAAATAATAAGCTGGGCAGTAATGGTACACACCTTTAATCCCAGCACTCAGAGGCAGGCAGATCTCTGTGAGTTCAAGGCCAGCCCGGTCTATAAAGGAGTTAGGTCCAGGACAGTCAGAGAGCTCTTACACAGAGAAACCCTGTCTCAAACCACCACCCACCACCCACCCCTTCCCCCCCACACAAAAAAATCAACTCAAATCAAAGCAGAAAAAAAAAGTAGAAGACACAGAACTAAAATGCCAATATCAAGCACCTCCCTACAGGCAATTATTTAAGATAAAAATGAGTTGACCTTCCCAGCACAAATATAAAGATTGGCTGATTTTAAAACCAGAACAAGATTTAAATAGATTCTGTCTACAAGAGACTCACTTTAGATCTAAAGACACATTCAATGATAAAGTAAAGAATGCAGGGCTGGAACTCAGTTTGCAGAGGACCTACCTAGCATTTACAGAGCTGGGGGGTAGAGGGGTTCAACCTCTAGGCCATTGTGTGAAGAAGCATGATGGCATAGGCCCAGTATCCCAACACTGTGGGAAGACAGGATCAGAAGTTCCTATCCACAGACTGAGCTGTGAGAGGGGGTGAAAATCTATACTACTCAAAGTGGTCACCAGCTTTTTTTCAGTCTACACTGAAAACTCAATCAGGCAAACACCTGCGAGTCCAGCGCCAAGGGATCAGATGCCTTCTTCGGCTTCTGCACATGCACTGACCCATACACTCGCACACAAGCACATAGACACTCAAACACATACAAATAGATCTCGAAGAAAAAAGGAATATTTGAGGGTCAGGTATGGTGGTGCAGGCCTTTAATCCCAGCATTCGGAAGGCAACTAGAGAGGAATCTCTGAGTTCAAGACCACCACAGTCTACACAGTGAATTCTACAACAGTGAAGGCTATATAGAGAAACCTTGTATCAAATACATAAATCTAAATGAGCTGGCAAAATGGTTTGGTGGGTCACCTGCTACCAAGCCTGACCATCTGAGTTCAGTCCCCAGGGCACATAAAGAGAACTGGCTCCTGAAAGCTATCTTCTGACCTCCTTTCTCACGGTGTGGCAGGAGTGAGCCCATAAAGACACACACACACACACACAGTGTAATTTAAAAAAAAAAAAAAAAGAGTACATCAAAACTAAGAATTGAGCATTGGAGAACACAGTGAACAGCTTGAAATGCAGCCTACAGAATGGGCGGATACACTTGAAAACCGTTAGTGAGAGGCTAATAGACTCATTAAAGAATGACAAAGCAGAGAAACAGGGCACTCCACTCAACCCAACTTTCAAGTGGGCAAAAGACTCCGATAAATATTTCTCTACAGACAACACATGACCACTAAACACGCACTGAAAATCTCTCGTTATTAAGGAAACCAAAATCAAATCTGTAGAAATACTGTCTCACACCTGCGGGGCATTTACCCACCAACCCCACAGTTCCCCAGAGTTTTCTTGAGTGTGTGCAGCAGAAATTAGAAGGATTTAGATTGTGGAGATAAACAGAAAATAAACAATAGGCCGGGCGGTGGTGGCACACGCCTTTAATCCCAGCACTCGGGTGGCAGAGGCAAGTGAATCTTTGTGAGTTCGAGGCCAGCCTGGTCTACAGAGTGAGTTCCAGGAAAGGTACAAAGCTACACAGAGAAACCCTGTCTTGAAAAATTAAAAAAAAAAAAGAAAAGAAAAGAAAGAAAAGAAAAGACACAATAGCCTTGAGAGGGCCTGGAACTTATTCCAACAGGACTGTCTCTGCCCTAAGGTATTTATAGAAACACCAGGGGTGGAGCAAAAGACCTCCCCACAACCCAGCACAGCCAAGTGCAGACCATCTTAGATACCTGCACTCAGACCCATGGTCCAATCATCCTCTCCATACAGACTTGCTGGGTAAAGCCACGAGGAACCTGAAAACTGAGCTCTCACACACACCCCTTAAGAATGGCTACTACCACTGGGTGGTAGTGGCTCAAGCACTTAATCCCAGCACTGGAGAGGCAGAGGCAGATGGATCTTCGAGTTTCGAGTTCAAGGCCAACCTGGTCTGCAAAGTGAGTTCCAAGACAAGCCAATGCTTCTCAGAGAAAACCTGTCTCAAAAAAAAAAAAAAGGAGTGGTCACTTCCTATCACCAATACTCCTCAAATTATTCCACAAAATAGAAACAGAAGAAACATTACCCCATTCATTTTATGAGGCCACAGTTACTCTGATGCCCAAACCACATAAAGAGAAATTTCAACACAGAATTATAGACCAGTTTCCCCTATAAATGCAAAAATACTCAATAAAATACTTGCAAACCAAATCCAAGAACACATCAAAAAGATCATCCACCATGACCAATGAGGCTTCATTTCAGAGATGCAAGGATGCAAATGGAAAGAAACAAAAATACATAATCTCATTAGATGTAGAAAATGCCTTTGACAAAATCCAAAGAGCATTCATGATAAAAGTCCAGGAAAGATCAGGGATACAAGGGCCATATCTAAACATGCTAAAGGCCATTTACAGCAAGCCTACAGCCAACATCAAATTAAATAGAGAGAAACTCCAAGTAATTGCACTAAAATCAGGAACAAGACAAGGTTGTCCGCTCTTCCCATATATATTCAATAGAGTACTTGACATTTTAGCTAGAGCAGTAAGACAACTGATGATCAAGGGTCTACAAATTGGAAAGGATGATGTCAAATTTGCAGATGATATGATAGCATACATAATCGACACTAAAAATTCCACTCCTATAGCTGATCAACACTTTCAAAGTGGCTGGGTACAAGATCAACTCAAAAAAAAAAATCAGTAGCCCTCCTATATACAAACAACAAACAGATGAAGAAAGAAATCAGGGAAACACCTTGCACAATAGCCTCAAATAGTATAAAATATCCTGGAGTAACTCTAACCAACCAAGTGAAAAAGTTGTATGGTAAAAACTTCAAGTCTTTGAAGAAAGAAATTGATACCAGTAGATGGGAAGATCGCCCATGCTCATGGAGGTAGGAAGTAACTGGGAGGAGTAGAGGGAAGAGAAACTATAATCAGGATATATTGTATGAGAAAGGAATCTATTTTCAATAAAAGAAAAAAAAAGAAGAGCTACTACCAAAAGAAAAAAATTAGAGGCTGGAGAGATGGCTCAGCACTGGTTGCTCTTCCCAGCATCAACATGGAGGCTCACAACTGCCTGCAACTCCAACATCAGGTGATCCAGCACCCTCTTCTGACCTATGAGGGCACCAGGCAGGCACACAGTGCATATGCAGGCTCATCTACAGAAAATGAAAAAATATTCTTTTAACTGACTTAACCAACCCAAGGAAATAGCTGAGAACTAGATTAGGCTCTACATACTCAAGTTCGCTCTAACATTAAAATCACCTTTGAGCTAACCAACCCACTCTCGTGGCATTATCCACTCTGTGAGGGTGATGCTCCATGATTCTTACTTAGTACTGATACACTGAGGATGCTTTTTTCAACATATTAACTTTAGAGCCATGACCATAGACCATAGTACTCGGCTTCATTCAGAGGACTACATTCAGCATCCCCAAATAGAGCATTTTAGACATTTAATTGTATACCCAGATTAAAATAATAGATTTGTCATGAATTTAAAAGTAACTAATATGGGGCCAGCAAGAAAGCTCAGCAAGTAAGGTTTCTTGCCACCAAGCCTGATAGAATCTTAATTTGACTCCTGGGGCCCACACGAGGTCAGAACTGGCTCCTCGAAACTCTTCTGGCTTCTGTGTGCCCTCCCCTCAAGTGATATATAAACAAATCAAAGACCTGGCTTGCTAAACTAAATGCTGATCATCAAGAGAGTGAAACACCAATAAACTCTACGCTCTAAAGACCAGTCGGTAAATTTTGTTTTTCACCACAATTGGAAAATACATTTTAGAAACTCCAAAGGAGAGTCATGTCCGGTGGTGCAGTTGGGACACGCTCCCCATCTTGCCCTTCTGTCAGAGGACCACACATCCAGAAGGTCCTGCATGCTGTATTGAACACCAGTACCTCATTCTTGGGCTTTCCAGCTTCTAGAACTATAAAAAAAATATATGTATTTATTTATTGTAAATTACCGTGACTCTGCTATTGTTACAGCAGCAAAGAACAGAGGAAGACATAAAGGTGAATATCACATTCCAGCACCCAA